AACAACGATTATCGGTCGATTGTTCCTTAAAACCATATTCATAAAACTTCCAGATTATTGGTCTATTGTTTTCAAATCCATGATTATTGGAAAACACTCAAAAAAATCCACGAATGGTGTTCGAAAAAATATTTCTAAAAAAATAAGATTTTTTGTCTATAGTTCCTTGAAAACATAAATGAATCAGGATTATTGGTCTGAAAAAAAAATATATATTCTTAAAAATTCTAATACTGCTCAACGATTATTGATCCACTGGCTCTAAAAAATATTCATAAAAAATCGACGGGTTTTAAAAATAATAAATTTTAATATATTTATTTATTTATTTATTTTAATATATTACATACATATGTAAATACCATCTGTTCAAAAATGTGTGAGCATCTTCTTCTTCTTATAAATACAAAAATAAATCTCACTTCGAAATTGCAAAAAGAAAAAAATGTAATTTTTAAATGCATTTGAAATTAATTTCTTTTGTTGTTTCTTCAAATGACATTCTAATCCGCATATGAGCCTCAAGGTCAGCCGTGGTGGGTGTTTTGTTAAAATGTAGTGATCTCTGTGAATATTCGAAATTTCATTGAGGAAGAATTGAATGCATTCGAATTTGCCTGTATTGTCTGTCTATCTGACATGCTGTGCGATGAGAAATTACCAACGCCTGTTGATATTGGCAATAAACAAAATACCAACAACAACAGCAACGACAGAAGTCACAAAGTGTGACCAATTGTTATGAATAATTAATTGTTTTTAATTATTTTTCTGAAAATTTGTATAAGATTTGTAGTGGTTGTTTTCATTTAGAAACGGCGACATGGTTAATATAGGGAATATGTTTTAGTTTTGGATTTCAGCAAAATATGTAGAGGGTGGGAGAACTCTCAGACTGAGGAAGTTAAAATATAATTGGAATATGTTCCCAATCATAACAAATATTAATCATTTTTATGAAAAAAAAAAGATTTTTGTAATATTTTGAAACATTTTTCAAAATTTCTTCAAAGAGATCAGCAAAGATATTATCATGAAAATCTTTAATAGATTGTCATTTCTATTCAAACACGTTTATGCCATTAAAAATTTGTTTTAAAATAATAAAAAAAAAAAACATTTATTTAAACACCAAAAAATTGGGCCACTGACCTGTACAGAAGCCATTTCAATTTTGTTTATAACCATAAAAGAACACATGTTTTCAAATTAATTTTTACGAGCGGATTTTTCTTGTCACACAAAAATTAAAAAATAAATGTTTTTATCTTTAAATAAATATTATTATTCCATTACATTTACATTTGAAATTGTCCCAAAAATTAAAAACCACTTCATTATTTTAGTAGCGTTTGGGTGTATTTTTATATTTGTGGTTAGTATATTTATATGACAGCCATAATAATATTTAATTTTGAAAATAAGAAATAGAAAAAAAAAAAAACAAATATTGAAAACAAAAAATAAATTTCTGGATAGTAACAAAGGAGAAATCCGTATTTTTCCGACTGAAGTAATTCACATTTATTATAAGCAATAATATTCAGAACAACAGGAAAATGTTATAGCATTTGGGTACCATAAACATTTTTATACCCTCAGTCATATGGCTATAGAGGGTATATATCATTTGATAAGAAAAAAGTACATCATCGGAATAACGGTTTCAGACCCTTAGTCTCTTTGGACCAAATCCGTTTCAGGACCGTCCGTCCGTCTGTCTGCTGGTTGGTGCGGACATAATAACTCTCGAAGGGAGTATCCGATTTCGTCCAAACTTGGTACATCGTAATATTTTTCGCAAATTTAGATCGAGTTCGGAGATGGGCAATATCGGTTCACTCCTTCAACATTTTCAAAGAAAATATTTCAATGCACGGAAAGAGAAAGGATGATATTACTTTGATCCTACTTTGTGAATCCTAATATTTGCATTCTTGCTATGTCAGGTGTGAAAATAGATAAATTCGGTCCACTCCAACAAGTACCTCCCCCACAAAGGGTCAGCGTTTTGAATATTCATGAAGCTCCGATTCCATTCAGACTTGGCACATCTCAATATTTCCATCAACACAAAATCTGTTATAAAGATGGTAAAGATCGGACCATTCCTTCTGATACCTCCCCCACAAAAGATCGAATTTTTCAATGAAAATAATTTACTGCACAGAAAGAGAAAAGCTAATCCGATTTTGCTCCAACTTTGCAAATCCTAATAGTTGCATGAGTGCTGGGTCAGGTGCGAGAATGGACAATATCGGAAAACTTCATCCAGAAAAACTCCCCCACAAGGGGTCAGAATTTTGAATAATTATAACTCTTGTAAAATATAATGTAAGAGTCCGCTTGTCTTCAAATTACACATATCACAAAATTTTTAGTAACCCAAGGTCTGGTGTGATGATGGAATACATCGGCTTTTCTCTTCAAGTACCTCCCCACAAAGGATCAAAATTTCGAATATCCATGAGGCTTCTTAAACGCGAAATTAACATTCGATTCCTTTTAGACTTCGTTCACCTCAATATTTCCATCAACACAAGATCTGTTATAAAGATGGCAGATATCGGACCATTTCTTCTGGTACCTCCCCCGTAAAGGGCTAAATTTTTGAATAACCAAAACGGTCATAAAATTCGTAATAAGCATCCGGTTCTCTTCATATTTCACATATTTTTTCTACTAACACAATATCTGCTGTGAAGATGGGATATATCGGTCTACTCCTTCTGTTACCACCCCCACAATGGGTGAAAATTTTGAATATCCATGAAGCTCATAAAACGCGAAATTAATATCTGATTATGGTACCTCATTGATTTCCTTGTAATTTTTCCCATACTAATATTTTTATCTGTATTAGATGAAGTATGGCAATTAAAAAAGCACCATTGGAACGAATTCGGAAATTTTCAAAAAAAAAAAAAAAAAAAAACCTTTTTCTGGACTTCTACAAGACGACCTTCTGGCCTTCTATAAGAAGACCTTCAGTTCTTCCATAAGAAGACCTTTTGGTCTTCCATATGAAGACCTTTTGATCTTCTATGAGAAGATCTTCTGGTGTTCCTAAATAAAACATTCTGAACTTCCATAAGAAAACCTTCACTGGTTTTCTATAAGAGGAACTCGTGGTCTTCTATGAGAAGACCTGCTGGTCTTGTATGAGAAAACCTTCTTACATTCTATAAAAATACCGAATATAGCTGTCATACGAAGATGTGGAACTGCAACTTTTGTCATAATCCATTACAAAATCCAAATACGAAACTTGAAAAAATCTGGTGAATAATGTAGCTAAAATCATCAAAATACCGTATATATTATAGAGGGGTAAACGAAGAAGTGGATCTGGATAGACAATTTTCTGCCACAGGCTGTAGCCCCTATTAAGAACTTCAAATACGAAATTACAAACAATTTTGGTGATTATTGTACCTAAAATCTTCAAAATACAGAATATAGGAAGGTAGTGATATATGGGGCTTAAACGAAGACCTCGACCTGCGTAGACAATTTTCTGTCACAGGCTGTAATTTCCATTACGAACTCTAAATACGAAATTTGAAACAGCTTGTGTTGGTAAAATCATCAAAATACCAAATATAGGGAGGTCCCGTATATGGGGACTATACAAAGACCTGCATCTGCTAAAACATTTTTTAACGAACTATACATAGGAAACAATTTCCGTGAATAATGTCTCTAAAATCGTCATAATATCGAATATCAGGGGGTTCCGTTATATGGGGGCTATTCGATGACCTTGTCTATGCAGATATTTTTCTGTCATAGACTTTAGTTCCTATTACGAACTATAAGTACAAAATTTGAAACAGCTCCGGTGAATACTGTCCCTAAAATCGTCGTAATATTGAATATCGAGGGTACCTTTGTATGTGGGCTATACGATATCGTAGATCTGTATAGAGATTTCTCTCCCAGGGGCTGAAGTAGTTAAAAAGAACTTCTGGTATGTATTTTTAGACAATTCCATTGAAAAATATAGCTAAAATCATCAAAATACTAAATATCGGGAGATATAGTTCGACTTCGAACTTGGCCTGCCTCCATACAAAAAACCGACGTGTACAAAATTCTACAATATAATTTTAGCTTAGACGGTCGGACGAATAGACGGGCGGGTGTGCAGGACTAAATCGTCTTAGAATTTTACGCTGATCAAGAAATTACTATAGCTCATTTACTCAAAGAGTGTCCAAACTCCAAAAATAATGTTTGTCCTAATTTTGTCCTACTTAATCTTGTTATTAAAAATAATACACTGATATCTGTAGAAATCAATTTTACCCCAAAAAGACTTAATAAAAATTATCTCAAAATTAAATTGTTGGACATTTGACCAACAAGAATTTGCCCAACATTTTGATATAAATACTAGATTGTTTGTTGTCCATATCATCAGCTATTAATAATTATACCTATCAAAGGTACATATGTGTGACTATGATGTATTGCATTAAAGTGTGACCACTGTACCCCTCATGCATGACCTTTGTATGGCATATCATGCCATGCCATCAAAAGTAATTAATTTTAATGCATTTCAGGCTAAACGGACTGTAATTTAAAATGCGGACATTTTTGAGACATCTAAGGCATTGAAACTTTTTTATATACAAATACAACTTTTGAGAAATAAATTAGATAAAATAAATAATTCAATGGTTTTAGTGGGAAATAAATAGAGAACAGAATTAAAATAAAATTATCAATAATAATACGCAGATTGTGAGAATATGTGACGTATGATTAATAACCAATTATGTTGTACTAAAATTACATAAATCATACGCTCATCTGTACTTCAGATAGTTATTTCACTGAAGATATTCATGACGTATGATTTATTTTCATTTGAGAATTGCTATTGATCATACGTCATGGTGTTTCATTCTAAGCCTTTTTTTATATATTATTGAATTAGAGATATGAGCTTTACTAATTCTCCCTCTCTTCTCTTCCTCTCTCTATCTTTACAGGAAAAAGGTGCCTTCATATCAGCCGTCTATTGTCGTGACACCAATTGCCCCGGTCTCGCTGTGCCCGAAGTAACTGGCATGCCGCAACCGAACTGGAATTGTTTGGAATGTAAACAGAAGTCGCCACACGCTCCAATGTCAAAGGCCCAAGATTTGGCCGTGGGTGCCATCAATGCCAAAACCAATTCGAATTCATTGAAAACTCTCATCCAGTACATCAAAGAGAAAAGTTCCAGTTTCATACCCGAAAGTAATTATTGTATTATCGATGCCAAGTTGCAGGTCATATCGAGGCTGAGTAAGAGCCTCGAAGACTGTGGCGAAGAATCGGCTGGCACAAAGGCACAGTTTTGTCAGGATATTTTGGATATTATGGATAAATTGGGACTGGGTGATTGTGTTATGCGTACCTATTTGGAGACCGAGAAGGCCAAGTGAATGCCCACCATATGATATACATATATACACACACACACAAATGTAATTTGTTGAGCGAGGCCAAGCCACATGAGAGAGTAATAAAAACGAAATGAATGAAGGGTATTAAAAGATCATCATTGGACAAAGGAGATTAAGTTTCGATGATGATGATAATAATGTAAATGATTTGAAATAAAACAAAAACAAGAATAAATATTATTTATGTATTCGAATAAGATTATTATTTTATATATTTTATGTTTAAAAAGTACAGATGTGCAATAATTTATTTTCTGTTAATTTATACTAAACTTATAAAATTTACAAAAAAAAAAGGAAATAAAAAAAAAATATAAAAATAAATTAATTAATAACCTGATTTGGTTATATCATATGGGGTTGGCGGATCAATATTCAAGAAAAAGATATATTAAGTATTGGGAGAAGATTATGAGAAGAGAACTTCTGGTTTTTGATGAGAAGACGGTTTTTAGTCCTTAATGAGAAGAAGACATTTTGATCTTCGATGAGAAGAGGACTTTCTTATTTTCGATGAGTACAGCACTTTCTGGTTTTCGATGGGAGGAAGACCATCTAGTCTTCAATGGGAAGAAGACCCTCTATTATTCTATAAGAAGATCAGAAGATTGATGAGAAGACGGTTTTTAGTCCTTAATGAGAAGAAGACATTTTGATCTTCGATGAGAAGAGGACTTTCTTATTTTCGACGAGTACAGCACTTTCTGGTTTTCGATGGGAGGAAGACCATCTAGTCTTCAATGGGAAGAAGACCCTCTATTATTCTATAAAAAGAAGACCTTCGCAGGTCTTCTTCTAAAGGAAGACCTTCATGTTTTCTTCTAAAGGAAGGCCTTCAGGTTTTCTTCTAAAGGAAGACCGTCTGGTCTTCTATAGGAAGACCTTCAGGTCTTCTATAGGAAAACCTTCTGGTCTTCCATAGGAAGACCTTCTGGTCTTCTATCGGAAGACCTTCTGGTCTTCTATAGGAAGACCTTCAGGTCTTCTATAGGAAGACCTTCTGGTCTTCTATAGGAAGACCTTCAGGTCTTCTATAGGAAGACCTTCAGGTCTTCTATAGGAAGACCTTCTGGTCTTCCATAGGAAGACCTTCTGGTCTTCTATCGGAAGACCTTCTGGTCTTCTATAGGAAGACCTTCTGGTCTTCTATAGGAAGACCTTCTGGTCTTCTATAGGAAGACCTTCTGGTCTACTATAGGAAGACCTTCTGGTCTTCTATAGGAAGACCTTCAACAGTCTTCTATGAGAAGAAATTCTGGTCTTCTATGAGAAGACCTTCTGGTCTTCTATGAGAAGACATTCTGGTCTTCTATGAGAAGACCTTCTATGAGAAGACCTTCTGGTCTTCTATGAGAAGACCTTCTGGTCTTCTATAGAATGACCTTCTGGTCTTCTATGAGAAGACCTTCTGGTCTTCTACGTGAAGACTTTCTTGTCTTCTATGAAAAGACCATCTGGTCTTCTATAGGAAGACCTTCTGGTCTTCTATAGAATGACCTTCTGGTCTTCTGTAGGAAGACCTTCCGGTCTTCTATTAGGAGACCTTCTGGTTTTCTATTAGAAGACCATTTGCACTTCTATTAGAAGGCCTTCTTGTTTCTATAAGATGACCCAACTCTTCTATGAGAAGACCTCCAGCTCTTCTATGAGAAGACTTCCAGCTCTTCTATGAGAAGACATCCAGCTCTTCTATGAGATGAGCTCCTGCTCTTCTATGAGAAGAGCTACTGCTCTTCTATGATAAGACCTCCAGCTCTTCTCTGAGAAGACCTCCAGCTCTTCTATAAGAAGAGCTTCTGCTCTTCTATGAGAAGAGCTCCTGCTCTCCTATGAGAAGAGCTCTTCTCTGATTTTCCATGAGAAGACCATCTTGTCTTTTCCTCTGGCTTTCTGACAGCAGACCTTGGGCATTTTTACTATTTTCTATGGTAAGTCGTATTGTTCTACTTAGATTTTTTTACACTTTTCTCTGTGTTATCCAATCAGCCAATAAGTGTGCCAATGTCATTAATCCTCAATCCAGCCAATTTACTCACTTAAATACAGCGTAAGTTTACAAAACCATAAACATTTCCTTTCAGTTTCCATATCCACAAAGTTCATTGCCACAAATCAAATAGACACCACGATATAGAGAGAGGGAGTGTGTGAGAAGCAGGGAGAGAGACCCGACGAGATGCGCACTTGTTGATTGCAATTATTTTTCCGCTAAAATCTGCTTCGCTTTATTTCACTTACAAAGCCATTAAAATTGTTAACTAGAATTTTGGCCAAATCCAAAAAAGTAAACAATTTAAATCATATTTTCGCATGAAATGCGGCGGCGGAAAAATTCAGTGGAAAACAAAAGTGGGGAAAATTACATCAATGGAATTATGTGGTTGTGTGTTTTGGGTATGGATATACTTTGAAGATTTTAAATCAAAAGAATTACAAATGTCTGCCAAAAAAGAAATTCATAATTTGTCTGACTAACTAATTGACACTAATACTGCCGTATTTAGTCCAATTGTCACCCGGCCAAATATTAAATTTGAAAATGAAATGAATTTCCACTTTTACATTCTGACAATTTGAATTATTACCGCTGAAGATTGTCTGCTCCAATTAGTCAAACTAATTTTTGTTTCGCGTTGAACAGCCAACAACGAAGTTGGCAAGAGAACATCGAAAGTGTGCCGTAAACATTAATTTGTCGCAATGACACTCCTTGGCGACAATCTCGAGTGGTTTTAGCGTTAAATTGAAATGACGTTAAAATGTATATTCATAAAAAAGTTTAATATTAATTTATGTTTTTATTTATTTCAAATAATATTAATAAGCCCATACATACATAGGTTCTGTAAAAGAAGGTCTTGTGTATAGAAGGTTGGTGGAAGAAGTGGACCGATATATTCCATATTCACTGTAGATCTAGTGGTGTTAATCAGGTAGGAAAGTTTGAAAGATATAAGAGATTTTTCCAAATTTTATAATTGAGAGGTTCCTTCTGATTCCTTCTGGTTCGATATTGTTGATTTTCGTACCTGTGACCCACAAATATTATGATATGGAAAGTTTAAAGCGAATCTGTATTACAGCGCTTTTATATGAAATTTGAAAATGTTCGAATAGTAGTATTGTTCCAAAAAGGAGTGGTCTAAAATATCCGATCTTGGAACACGACTTCAGTTTGATAAAAATATTGTTATATGTACAGCTTGTTTGAAATCAGGTTCTTCAATCTAGAGATGTCGTGACCATCTGCCAGGCGGACTTGGCAAGATCGAATCCTTATGTCATTAAATGGACTTTTCTAAAGAAATACGGGCTTTAACGTATTTTCATAGGGCACATTTTAGTCGAATCAAATGTCATATGCTCTATGTAGTAAGGACAACCTGGCTGTACAGCAATTAGTGGACCTGTATCGAAAAAAAAAAATTTGTAAGGAGAGAATAGGCCCAACGAGAACCCCAATTGCCAAGTTTCAGCTAATTTGGATTGAAATGTGGAAGAAACCTTCAAAACACCGAAAATCGGAAGGCAGCGGTATATGGGTGCTCTACCAATTATTGAATGAATCGAATATTTTTCGCAAGGTTATAATAAACATTTCGAGAACCCCAAATGTCAATCCAATTTGGATGGAAATTGTGGCAGAAACCTTCAGAATACCGAAAATCGGCAGGTACCGTTATATGGGGGTTATGTCAATTATTGGTCCTGAATCGAATATTTTTCGCAAGGAGAGAACAGACCTACCGAAAATATTAATTGCCAAGAAGAAACCTTCAAAATACCGAAAATCGGGAGGTACCGTCATATGGGAGCTATATCAGTTATTGGACCCGAATCGAAAATTTTTCGCAAGAAGAGAAGAGACCTTTCAAGAACCCCAAATGTAAAGTTTTATCTAATTTGTTTTTAAATTGTTGAAGAAACCTTCAAAATACCGAAAAGTGGGAGGTACCTGTGTCGATCATTTTTCGCAAGGAGAAAACAGGTAGGTCTGTACTCTAAGAGAACTCTAAGTACCAAGTTTCTAATTACTAATTTCGCCGGAAATTGTGGCAGGAACCTTCAAAATACGGAAAATCGGGAGGTATATGGGGGATATACCAATTATTGGACCTGCATCGAAATTTTTTCGCAAGGAGAGTACAGACCAGATGAGAAGCTCAATTGTGTAGTTTCATCGAATTTGTTTGGAAATTGTGGCCGAAACCTTCCAAATACCGAAAATCGTGAGGTATCGTTATATGGGGGCTATACCAATTGGTGGGCCAGAATCGAATATTTTTCTCAAAGAGATAACAAACATTTCATTTCTGTCAAGTTCCAGATGATTTGGTTAGAAATTGTGGACGAAACTTTAAAAATAAGGAAAATCGGGAGGTACCGTTATATGGGAGCTATACCCATTAGTGAATCGGAATCGAACTTTGTTGCAAGGTGAGAACAGACCTACCAAGAACAAGAAATGTAGAGTTTCATCTAATTTGGTTGGAAATTGTTGAAGAAACCTTCAAAATACCGAAAATCAGGAGGTACCGTTATATGGGGGCTATACCAATTGGTGGACCTGAGTCGAAGATTTTTTGCAAGGAGAAAATATACCTATTAAGAAAGCTTCGTCTTATTTGGTTGGAAATTATGGCAGAAACGTTAAAAATACCGAAAATCGGGAGGTGCCGCTATACCAATTAGTGGACTTAAATCGAACATTTTTCGCAAAAAGAGAACAGACCTGCCGAGAACCTCAATTGTCAAGTTTCAGCGAAATTGTTTGGAAATTGTGACAGAGATCTGCAAAAAACCGAAAATCGGGAGGTTCCATTATATGGGGGTGGACCAATATAGCCCATTTACAATCAGTCTATGTAACACATAAACCTTTATGCCAAATTTCAAAGTTTTGTATTAAATAATGTAGATTCTATCGTGATTTCAACAGGCAGACGGACAGTCGGTCGGACAGACGGGCATCGCTAAATCGCCTTATAATTTTATTCTGATAAGGAATATATGTTTTTGTTTTTGGGTCTCCGACGAATATGACGACGGAATGCTTTTTCAGTACTCAATATCCTATGAGTATTTTATCGTTATTTCAGTAGACATGCGGACATGGATGGCTAAATCAGTATACATTTTAACACTGGTCAAAAATATATACTATTTTTGAAGACTCCGATGAATATTTTGAAGTCCAAAACTTCTTATGGCAGAGGGTATCAAAATATACGTAAACATCTTAGAAGCTGGCA